GCTAACAAAATGGAAAGACTTTGTGTGATGTGTCGATGCTAATCTTATAGCCCATAATGTGCTCAGAACATTGGCAGCACGTAGTTTCGTGTATGGATAAACCCAGTGTACCTAAAGATATTCAACAATTAAAAGTATTAGATAGTGTAACGGTAAAATCATTGGTAATAAAGTGAAGAAAATTGCATACCAATGCACCATTATGAATCACGACATCAACTTGTTCTGTCAATATCCGCCATTCATCCTCGTCAATGCCTAATCTTTCTTTTTCCAAGTCACCGCACACTACTTCTAATCGATTTTCGGTAAACCATTCTTCCCGCCATACCATATGTGCTTTTAAACTTTTCTGTACTCGCTCTAATGCTAGTTCTTTTGATTTGGCTCGCACGTGCGCAATAACTTTTATTTCATTACTAGTATCCAATAAAGATGATAGAATAAACGTTCCCAAAAATCCAGTTACGCCTGTAACAAATATTGTCTTTCTGTGACTATTGACAGGCAATGGATTGTAACTGTCTAATAAATACTCTGCAATCAACGGCTCAAGTTCGGCTGCGTAATCATAAACTTGGTCATCTTCTTTGGTATTCGAACTGCTTTCATCCATCGTTTTAACATCAATCTTATTAATTTTATTGTTGCTGTTAGTGCTATTGTCACTATTTGCGATATTCAATTCTAGATTCAGTATTCCTTCAATCTCTTTTGCTTGTCCTCGAATCGTCGGTTCCTGGAATACTAATCCTAGAGGAACATTAACACCACACGCTTTACGCAGTTCGAATATCAGGCGGGTGGCAATGATCGAATGGCCGCCAAGATCGAAAAAGTTTTCATCAATTGGTATCACGGGTTTTGGCGGTTCTGGAAGTAGTTGTGACCATATTTTGTGGATCGTTTGTTCGATGGGTGTCAGGTTTTGAAGATGGGTGTCGTCTTTGGTGTGTGTAGTAGATGGTGCTTTGGAAGCGGTAAGTTGTGCAGTATCGGGGAAAGGTAATGCAGGCTTATCAATTTTGCCATTCGGTGTTAATGGCATTTTTCGTAGCGGAACAAATACTAAATATTAATTTAGAACGGTTGAAATGAATACGTGTAAAGTATAACAATAACAGTAATAGTTTGAACATACCACTTGGAACACTATAGCTCGGCAATTTCTGCTTCAAATACTCTCTAATTTCCTTAATAAGTCGTCGATATTTTTGTCGTCCTTTAGTACCCGCGTCGTCTTCATCATCATCCTCATCGGTCGAACTCAAAAATTCAGCCATTTCACTTGATTCCACGGGTACAAAGTAGCTAACCAATGTTTGTTCTTCGTATTTGTCACGACGAACCAACGTGACATTCTCACGAACGAGCGGATGTTGTGAAAGATGTGTATCGATTTCGCCGAGCTCGATACGGAACCCACGGATTTTTATTTGGTCGTCTGCGCGACCGACGCACTCAACTTTTAAGGTTTATGTAATCATTAATAAGAATAAGAAAAAACGAAGTATTTTCCATGATAATTTTAATATACCATTTCCATCGGGTCTGTATCTTCCAAGATCACCAGTCTTGTACAATCTATCTCTCTTTCCTTTCCAATAAGCTCGCCACTCCTCTGATCCTTTTTCATCATCATCATTTTTATTTTTCCCGTCACTAAACCAGTTCGTCAAAAACTTTTCACGGGTAACCTGTTCCAGCTGCAAATACCCTTCGGCCAATCCACCAGCCCTCACATAAATTTCCCCAATCTCGCCCACACCACATAAAACATTCATATTATGTCGATTCACAACCAACAGCTGAACATTTTGCATTCCCTTGCCAGCCGGTATCACATCTTTTTGGGATGCAAGAAATGTCGGCGCGGACGAAAGAGGTGGGATGGTAAAGTAGGAGACAGAACGTTGCGTTTCTGTCGTTCCATACATGTTTATGATGGCAGTGTTTGGAGCTAGACGCTGTAAACGATTACAATCGCGTTTTGTTAGAATATCGCCGACGAAGAATGCATTTCGGAGACTTGGGATCGGTGTGCTTGCATTTGCAGAGAGTAGTTGACCCATAGCTTTATAACAATCGAAAAAAGGTCATTAATTAATGAAGTAATAATATTATAGTATGGTTTGAAGATTCGGCTTACCAGGGGTCAGATGTGTGACTGTAATTTTGCTTTCTGCCATCCAGGTCGCCAAACTTCCTGGAATTCCAATATCTTCACTGGTTGGAACATGCAACTCAGCCCCAAGAAAGAGTGGAGTGAATACTTTTTGTTACGAATAAATTAAAAAAATATTTTAAGGATGACTTTGGCATCAAGCACAAACAACGTACATATATAACAAACACTATGAGAATAAAAACTCACTATCACGCTGAATCGGGTCATGCGCAATCCCACTCAACATTGTAAATCGATCTTTCTCCGAAAGACCGAATTCTTGAGACATCCATGGGTAATAGTGGGTTAAAGAGAAATGTCGTCCTCTTACACCTAAATATACCCAATTTCATATATTTAATCGTCTTCAATATTCAATGCCTAATAATAATTATTATTATTATAGATATTATAATTAACTATTACCTTTTGGTATACCAGTACTTCCACTAGTGAAACTCAACGTCCCAATACTATCTGGTCCAATGACAATCCCAAGGTCTTGCGATTCAAATCCGCGTAAAATATCAAAAATATCTTTTCCATCTATTTCTCCACCCTTTACTCCTTTGTTATCTTCTAAAATTCGTAGAGCTGGAATTTCACATTTTATTGATAGATTCGCTTGAATGTATGAGCGGACAGTAGAGTTCAATGTGCCCGCTTTTTTCAATACGATTATCCCGCGAGGTTGTGCAACTTGTAGATAGATATTTTGACGGTCTGGTGGATAGGCGGGATCTGTTTTTTGGGGGGGGGAACCCGTGAAACATATGATTGAATTATCTTTCAAGTGATCATTATCGCCAATTATGTGTACGTATAATTTCAAAAGAAAATATTTTTACCAATGACACTAAACGTCGCACCAGCTTTCAATACACCCATAACAGCCACAACAAGATCGACTCCTCGATAAGCATACACCATCACAACATCCTCCCGTTCAATTCCCTTCAATCTCAAATACTGTGCCACTAAATTAGACGCCTCATGAATTTCACGATAAGTGAAAATCTTTTTCTCATTGTCATTACCCAAAACACTTTCCAAAACACACCGTCTATCCGGCCACATTTTAGCATTCCTTGCAAATACATCAGTAATCGCGCCCTTAAATTCACCCCACTTCAAATCCGATGTCGGATCCGGCAGGACCTCGAGACATTTTGACGTAAGAATGGGTATCTGTGCCACAGGAATCTCCTTATTTTGTGCGACATTGTTTATTATGATGATGAGTTGGTCGAGAATATGGTTGATTCGTAGAGATGAGAATAGTATTTGATTGTAGGAGACGCAGATTTCTATTGCGGGCAAGAGCGTGTGACGAAGAGATGATGATGAGTGGGAGGTAATAAATACAGTGAGATCGGTAAAGGTTGATGTTACTTGGAGTACTGGGTTGTCGGGTGTGTCAGTTTGATTAAAGAAGCGGACGCGAGATAGTGATTTGTGCGTGATATATGTGGTAGAGTTGCTATTATTAATATTGGATGTGCTACTACTGTCCTCAGGAAATAATGAAGACAGGAGCAAGTGAAATGGAACTTCATCAGCTGATGCTTCTTGTTCAACCTTTTTTATTATTATAATTATTAGGAATTTTGCATACCATGCATAAAATTTATAATGTTTTCATACGAATGATACCTGTTCAACTCGTTGCACTACATTTGTAAAAGTATCCGCAGGATTAATAGCCAACCTCAGAAAAAGAGGATTCCGTGAATCGGATGAAGACCCAACAATTATATCTTCATCACCAGTATATCGATAGAGTAACACCGCGAACGCGGCTAACAAAATAGTAAATGGGGATGGATGACGGTGATTCTCTGATACAACAATTCTATTTTGATTCTTATTGATGGTTTGATCGGATGAGAATGATAACGGAGGTATCGACAAAGACAGCTGCAAAACCGCATAAGATGTCGCCTCTGGTAGGTGTAATGTCTGAACAGCCTCTACCACTTGTAAAGGCAGTGGCCGTGGGTAGTCAGTCGGTAGTTGTAACTCTGTTGGGTTTCGCAAGCGTTTTTTCCAGCGTGCTAGTCTTTCTTTGGTGGTTGTTTCATCATCCAAACCTTTTGACATAATTACAACAAAATTCTAACGTCGAGACCGGGCACGACTCACTAGATTATCCCGATCAAATTTTTTAAGTCCGCATCTGTAATTTGGATCACGTTTTTAATTTTTCACAAATGGCATCCACACAGGTACCAATAGAGCAATCAGCTCCCGAAACAACACCAACATTGCCAACTGCCTCTGCTAACGTCACCACACCACAAACCGAGCTTGAAACCCTTGCGTTAGAAAGCTTAGCAAAACTTGATACACTTATTACTCTCGCTGGTCAAGTATTTCAAGCACTAGACGTTTATTCGCGTCGGAAATTGGTGAACGAGGATAATGAAGGGGAATTTGGACAAATGGCGAGCGAGAATTTTGGAATGGGTGAGAGTGGGATAAGTGAAGACGTAAATAGAGAGGAGGGGGGAGTTGATGCACTGACAGTTGAGAGTGTTGTGGAACGGTATCGTGAGACGGAGGCAGAGTTGAAGGAGCTTGTCGGCAGAGTTGACGCGTTGAAAGTCGAACAGGAGAAGTGGGAAAGGGAAGAAGAGGAAGAGAAAGAAAGGAAAGAGAAAGAAAAACAAAAGGAACCGTTAACGGATATAGTAATGGAACAACAAGAAGTAAGTCTTTTTACTTGTCTTTAATAAGTAAAATGTAAAAATTAGACGCACAAGATTGTATATACGCGTTATTTAGAGTACAACTAATTCTGATTCTCATTCTAATCTGAAATTAATAGACCAAAACAGAAACAATAATCAGCACGGTAGAGTCGAATAGTTTACTTACTACCACCGCTATTACAGACGATGAAATATCAAATCGAGAACTGTCTTCTAGCACCATCATAAATACCACCACTTCCATCATCACCACAATAACCGAACAGCAACTTCCTCCGCCACCGCCATTATTACCACCTTCACAACAGCAAGAAGCAACCGAAAAGGATCCAGTGATCGTCTCCCTTTTACAGAGACGCGACGAGATATTAAAAGTATGTTTTTTTTTTCTTTGATAAGAATGAAGATGACACATTACTGCTCCAATTCATTAATTTATTAATAATCTCCTCATAAAAAGCAATCAAATGAACAATCAGAACAATTATCAACACTCTTGGAACAAATGTATCGACTACAATTCATTGCTCAAACATTAATTGGTAGTTTTGATCAGCCGATAAATTTGGAGGGTGAGCAGGTTGAGGGTGAAAAAGGAGGTGGAGGTGGGGGTGGAGGAGAAAAAGACGAAGATGTGGAAATGACTAATAAAGGATCTTTGGAAGTGAAAAAAGAAATAGTGAAAAGTGAAAATGATGAAATGATGCTATGATTTCTACTATGATTCTATGCATGTGTTTAGATTTATGTAGACATAGATAGTAATATACTATGATTCTGTAAGTCTAGGAAAGGAAATAAATGAATAATAATGATGAATCTGATGGTGATTTAAATGTCTGTTTGAGTATGTGCAAATATAGTTATTTTTAGATAATGTTATAATATTCGTTTCAGCATTGAACCCCATGAGTCATAAGTAGTTGCAATTACAATCTAAGTAATTAAAATCCAAAAAAACAATGTATCATTACATTAAGAAATAAACGAGTGTTAGAAAAAAAAAAAGAATGGGTTTTTACCTGATACGGAAAAGGATTACGATTAGAATCCGTTATCGATGGAATATGATCTTTTTTTTCATTGATGAACCGTATAATGCTGAAAAGACATGAGGTCAATTGCTTATTCATTTCTTTACGCATTTTTATTCGATCTATTTGATAATATTCTTGTTTAGAGCACCGAAATACAAGAAAGGTAAACGATGATATTAACGAAAGGTTACTTACCCATTTCCGTTCGACACATCACTGTACGAATAGTCAGCGCCCACTGTTCCCAACATATTTCCTCTTCTGATTTAGTAAACCATGCTTTCTTCGTGCGTTTCTCGTGAAACATTACGGCAATCTAAGTTTTATTATTAATTAACATGAGATCAAACTATTTATCATAATGTATTCCTTGGCTCATTACATCAACCAAATTAATTACATGTTAAAAATAATAAATAGCGAGTAATATGACAAACCTGTCCTTTTTGATTCCCATGACTTTCCATCATCTGAACAAACTGCATCACTTTCTCTTCGACTTCTTGTTCGATTTCTGGGTCATCTATTGCTACCTTTTCAAGCGTCCACAACGGATTTAATAAAAGATCAAAAAAAATGAAATAAAATAAAATAATCGCAACTCTTAATAATACTCACGTATGTCAGTTCCAACAGATCAGCCTCACGTGGTTTTATATTCAGAAACACGCGATAGAAAAGAATCGTGTGTAAGAGAGCTGAATGCGCATGTAGTAAAAAAAAATTAAGATATAGACTAAGCACATAGACACATAATACATAAATACCTACCACGTAAAACGTCTTTTACCAATGACTTGTCGACAGTCTTTTTAGAGTAGAAGTTGATTTTATTATTATTTGATTTAAATATTTCTTAATAATTATTTAAATTGCAAGATTTATCATTATATTCACTCACCAAATCAATAGGAAATACTTCGGGATTCATTTGTCTATGACTGAATGTATGCTCTTCTCTTAATTTATGAATCAAGGTAGATACGTTACTTTATAAACAGGAGGCGATCGAGCATTATATATATATATATTTGTCAAGGCACAAAAATAGTTAGAGTATCGACATATATGTAGATCGTGTTGAAACTTATTATTTTGCGTAGCATACTTTGTTTTTCAAATTCTTTTGTGAAAAGAGCGCACCAACACCGATATACCTGTAGGACTAAACAGTCGGAGCAATTCATACTAAAAAAAGCACGATAATGGTACGTGACCTGAGAAAAATAACTAATTCACTCTACATAGCCGACAAATTTCTGTTTAACCAAGAATAATAATACGAATTCTTGATTAACGATTCTTGGTACACGCGAATGTTAAATGATTTTCCTTGCCATCTAACACCATGACGAGAAGAAAGATAAGAACATAGAACATTATAAAGAACTCGCGCATATTGATTGAATTTATCTTCGCATTACTTGACAAATTTTTAACGACACGACACAAAACATTGATCTATTCCAATAACAATCTCGATTTTTTACTCTCACTGATCTCTCCCTCCCTCTCGTACCTCTACAGCTGTTTTACTCATTCTTCAAGACGTTAATCGGTCAACAAGTCACAGTCGAACTAAAAAATGACTTAGCGATCACTGGTATTCTGGTATCGGTTGATCAATTCCTAAACATCAAATTAGACGATATACATGTAGTTGAAGAACAGAAGTATCCTCATATGGTATTCTGATGATTCTTTTGACAAGTTACCATGCGTTTAAAAAGGAAATCATTTTTACCTATTCTTCCCCTGTCACATTTTACTTCTGATTAAAAAAGATGGCAGTAAAAAACTGTTTCATACGTGGATCAGTAGTACGATACGTGAAATTGCCAGCCAGTGCCGTAGACACTGCACTACTCCAAGACGCAGCACGTCGTGAAGCGCAACAGCCTACAGTACCTGCGCCTCGTTAACTGCTGACTGTATCATATTCAGACCTATGACCTCTCTTTACTTGAATGTTGTTACGTGCATCTTTTAAAATTTAATGCTATTATTGTATTGTGTAAATATTTTTATGTATATTTTCTTCTTAGAATTGTTTGAATTTGATCAAATACAGACACTCCTCGCCAATCTTAGTTTCCTTATGAAAATCCCTTTAAGGATAAAATCACCTCCTTATAGTCTAAATCTCATCACCATTGTAATTGTATTTTCTAGAAAAAATTGTTAGATTATACATAGAAAAAGATTTACCTTGATAAAATTTTGATCATATTCCTCTTATAAAAAACCAGAATGATGTATTTATTTATTAACTAATTAATTAATTAATATAAAACTATTATTATTTTTAAACATCACTTTTATTAAAGTTAATTATTAAAGTTAATTATAAATAAAAAAAGAAAAAAAAATAGTTTTATAGTCTTGATAATTAAAGAAATACATTCTAAAAGATGCAAATTAGAAGCTTCTTACTATTCTCAAATATATCCTACAAATGATAATACAAATAAACAAAACAACTAATTATTGGAACTTTGAAGATTCTCTTTTACTTTTCGTTCTATAATTTCACGTAACGTTGAAGTTTGAATTTTATTCTCGATTCTTAAATATGAAACGCCTTCAACAGCGAAAATTTCAAACCAGGCCGGCAAAATTTCCGCTAATAATCTTAAATGCTCACGAGCCTCAACTAAAATTTAAAAAATTTAGTCCAGATTACCAGTTGCAATGAAATAACAAAAGCGAGATCATTTTTTATAAGTACCTTTTGACATTACCAATCTATCACTATCTGCGCGGGATAAAAATTCGGATATCTCCTCTAGCCGCATCTTTTCTTTTGACTTGCTTGCAAAGATGCTATTGAATGATTTAAGGTATATTATGCGTGTGTATATATATATATATATATTTCTCTTCCAACACAAAAAAAGATACAATGAGAGTGTTTGTGCTATGTCAGATAACCGGCTCAACTGTGAGCGCCTTTTTTTTTCTTCCGGAGTTAATATTTTAACATTTTGTCGCTGTTTATTCATCATTTCTTTTGCACGAATCTATAATGAATATGATTTAGTTTGGAATCTATGATGAATCGATCAATCAACTAGAGTTTTTTTTTACTCGTTCTCGCAAAGATTCTCGCCTAGACTCGGGCGATGATGCCTCCGATGATTTTTGTGTTTCAACGGGTTTTGCAACATCAATGTTACTCTATAACATATTTGTCAGTAATATCAAATAATTTTTTATGCCAAACCATGTATATAATAACTCTTACCTGTATATTATTGATACTCAGACGGATCTTTGGGGAGCTTAGCGATAAATGAGATTTGTGAAGTTGAGGTAGTTTGGCTTCAGGAATGTCCTCAATACTTTCCAAGTCAAAATCTGCGTGCCATTCATCGATAGTCTCAGTGGGACGGTCTATTGATTTCGATTTCAAATATTCCTAAATGTTAATAATGAATAATTCGATGAAAAATCTGTCATATAAAGAGAAAAAAAAATAATTGACAGAAAAATACCTCGTGCTTCTTCTTTACAATCTCAAACAACAAATCATGGAATTTACGTTTCCTTTCATTTAACTGTTGAGTCAACATGATTTTTTGAGCGCCTGGGAAATTTATCAAGAACGAATCCTCATTGAGATAGCGATGTGCTTCAACAGTAAAAGCTTGAGGGAAAACGTGGATTATTTGTGCAAAACGTGCTAGATCGAAATTTCTAAAAAAGAAATCAATTTAAATTATTGACAATTACAAATTTATCTTAACAAAACCAGGTGATGATTTCGGAACTATGTGCAAATAGATTTAGTCCAAATAGTCTCAAATGCCAACAACCCACCTTCCAGAAATTTCCTCGACCTGATTTTTCATTCGGTGATAGATGCAGAGGCGATTTTGCCCAAGATTCGTATTCAAACTAATCTGCAACGCATTAAAAATTTTCTCCAAGACAACAAATTTTTCCGGTAGTCTAAGTCCATACTTTGGTTTGGAAGTGACAAAGTAATGGTTAAGCGTGTTGCTTTGGGCGGGCGCAGTTTTACGTTTTGCGGGTGAGATTGACGAAGGTAAGGTAAGTTTTTTCGATGTCAAAGTAGAAGGATGGGAGGAGGAGGAGGAAGCCCCTTTCGACGAAGCATTTGAGCGTTTTATGGTTTCTTGGTTAGTAATTGCGGCATTTTTTATACCGGTGGGTTTGGTAGAGTCCGCGCGAGTGCTTTTATTTGTGTGAAAAAAAGTCACAAGCGAGGTATTGTTGTTGTTGTTGTTGTTGGTTGTTTCAGCTGCAATTCTTGCGTTATTTTTGGTAATCTTTATTTTCTTTGCTCTGCGCGACATTTTTTCAAGTGTTTCGCGCGTAGAATGCGTAGTAGAGTTTATATCAACCCGTAAAAAATTAGGTTACACTGATCTCGATGTTGAATCAACAGTCACGTGAAAAATTTCTTTAATTTGATGTGAGATAAAAAAAATTTATCTGGTATACAAAGTTCATAAATATAAAAAAAAATACTGGAGTGTTGTGGTGGCGGTGTTGGCAGTAATATAATAGTATAATGTATGATATAAAAATAAAAAAAATCAAAAGTTCACAAACAAAGTGCAGGAACCTTTTTTCTATCTATATATCGAATTATTACATGTGTCACGTTTAATATCTATACATATGTATTATTAGTTCTAATCATCAACAAAGAGGAAGCTCGTTATCAAGGCAGTGAGTGGTAATATTTTTGTCGTCGCCGTCGCTTCCGCAGTCTCAACAAATAATACTATTATTATTGTTGGTGATATTTTACAGTAATAATAATAATAATTAATCGCTCCTATTGTCCATTGTGAGCAAGATGATAAAGAATACCGATTTTTAAAAATCCCAACCTCATCTTCACAAATAATTTAAGGAACAACAGAAGATACATTTCATTTGTCGTCATCCTTTAAGAATTTCATGTGACTGTCTGTTGTGCATTCACCTCCTTTTCTTGGATCAAAATGAAAATTGTAGAAACTTCCATCGGCGTAAATCACTAAACAAAAAAAATATCGTCGATATATCGATTACAACGTTGAGATAAAATAAATTTTCTTGAAGAAATGATTTTTTGCGACGTCAAACGACATACCAAAAACATTATTCTCTTGTCCAAACCCGCAGATACATCGGCAATCTTTATTATTCAACTTGACGTGCGCAAATGACCATTCCGAAGAAAAGTATTTTGGCAATAGGTCTTTCATAAATGATAGACTAAAATAATAAGGCGAATAAATCGTTAATTTTCAATAGATTCTATTGAGGATGAAGATCTCCCTGTCGTACAACAGATTATGAGTCTATACCTGGATTGTCGATTTCCACTGTTGGGAGGAGAGGTACTTATTTGTCTGCTATAAAGGAAGTAGAAAAATTAATTCTAAAAATTTCCAGAAAATCAAATAACGCAAAAGCTTACTTTGTAATTTCTCCGTAATAAGCACCACCATTGTTATGACTAGTATGATCATTTCCATAACCGAACGTAGGATCGAGATTAAATATGTGCACAGTGCCCTTATCAGAGGATACACAGAGTCGTCTGGAGTCTGGGCTAAAACTAATGCTAGAAATTGCAGGAGGGAAAAAATCTACCATAAGAATGAGGTCACACAATAGTCATTTTCGCTAGAATCAAAAGCAAATACCTATATATCTCCGCACGATCAACACCTCTTCGTAGTTCATTCAGTAACTTGCCTGTTGTTGTATCGAATACCCTTATCAATGTTCCCTAATCACAAAATCATTTTTAGAGTTACATGTAGAGTGAAAAGATAGCAAGAATTAAAACATATACCAAACATGTTAACAGTATTCATACCTTTTCACTGGCACTTGCACATTTAGATCCATCCTCATTCACAGCTATGCAACTTAACTTTCCAGTGTGAGCAGCAATGATCCTAACACTCACGGGCACCATATTTGGGCTTCTGGCAGAATCTGGATCTGGATTTACCTTTGAAGCACTTGATTTTCGCTGTTTACGATCAGATCGTGAAGGATGTTCATTGTAATCAGTAGGCAGCGGGAATGAATTTCGACGATTTGTATATGAAGATGATGGTGAAACCAACAAAGGATCTGGTTGTAGGTCGATGTTCATGGGTAAATCTACAATTTGAATATGACCTTTTTGACGACCAGGAAATGCGAGGATAGCACCATTTTTTGATGATGAGAGTGCAACGAGACCTGACGATTAAGAATGGCGTGAGATTTAACGAATCAAAAATATAAAGACTAAACGCGTATGGTCATACAAGTACCAACCTTTTTCGTTGTCTATTGTTTCGAAAGTGTGCAATTTTTGGGGCCTGGGGCTAAACTGAAAAACGTGAACTTTATTTGATAGCACTACAACAATTCTAAGTCAGATATACCATGATTATTAGTAACCAAAAAAAGGAGAATTCTAGTTAACTCGACATGAATGAAATACTAGCATCCACCTGTCTCGTCGTAATTTGACATTTTTTATTTCAGTTTTAAATTCCAGATTAACAATATCTTTATTTTTCGAATCATCCCAAATAATGACTTTATTCGGTGGATACTTTGGATTTTTTCCTCCGCCCACCAACGCAAGGTAATTACAACGAAACAACATTTCTATTATGGAAATGCCACCGTCCATGAAGTCTACGCAGCATGAATGCAAAAAAAAAAAAGGAATAAACAACGGAATTTTCCCGTACGGAAGAAAAGGTTTAAAAATTTCTGCGAAGAATTGCATGCATACCTCTACGCATTTTCTCTTTAAAAGGATCGCAGTTAAATATTCGAAACCCCCCATCCAAGCCTGTGGCAAAGCACCCAAAGTCCTGATTGAAGCTTGCATAGAGCAGTCCTGGCGCGTCAGCAGACGAAGACGAAGAAGAAGGTTTTGATAAATTCATTTTAGTGTTGCGTGTAAGTGGAAAGTATGTGAATTAGCAAAACTTACAAATTCAAAAATACAATGTTCAACGTCTATACTAAATAACTAAATAATACTAATCGGAGTGATCGTCATTATGCAATACGAAGGTCAAATGACATTCTTGTATATGTATATGCCGGAATAAGCAACGTGAGAAAGTTTGTGCCGTAGCAAAAACAATGATCAATCAACATCCAGAGAACATTCACACTTTCCATAGAAGCTTTTTCTATGGAAATTTCTAAATAGTATTACAGTTAATCAATCAATCAAAGTAACCAGATACTCTTTCCGAACGGAATTAAAGCATAGAATCCTTCGTCCTTCCTACTTGTTGAGATTTACAAATTTATTTTTTTTGGGATATGATATCGCACGGATTAAAAAATTTACGATTAACCGTTGCCATCAAACATTACCTTTTGAGTTCTTGTCAAATCTTCAATTGACACAACCCCCTCAAAAAACTCTTCTTTTCTCGTCTCAAGTAAATATTCTCTCATTACACCCGGTAAAAGACCGCACTCGATTCTAGGAGTTTTCCATTTTACCTTATTAGTCTTATCATCGTAAATCTCAATTGCAATATTTGCGATTGAACATTCGGTTATTTCCGAATTCTCGTTGTATAGAATCACATCAAATATATCATTATTGTTGCTGTTTTGATCAATACCTAAAAAAAAACACATTAACAGGATATTTCTCGATTATTCCAATAATTTAAAAAGAAAAAAATTATAATAAAAAAATTACCGACTCTCTTCCTAGCATCATCGTATACTTTACGATTAGTAGTTTTATGCATCAGAAGAATATTCTCAGAATTTGTAGGTTCTGTATCCAACTTTACTTTAATTGTCGAGTTGCTTGGTTCTACGGTTGAACGAATTAATCGATCAGTCGATCGATTAATTAAAGTGAGCACAAAGTTTTTAAACTTACTTGATTCGAATGCGCTACTGGTCACCGTCGGAATTCCATCTACATCAACAACCACTCTAACCTTTTATTACACACGCACACACACATGTACGTATATGTATCAGTTTATTCAACATCAATAAACTAACAAAATATGTATACCCTTTGCCTAATTCCCCTTCCAATCTTTTCCACGCACTTATCGATTTCTCCCAATAAAATCTTCTTAAATTCCTCAGCATTCTGTACGAAATCGAATGGCATCTTTTCATTCTCATTCTTATCTTTTCGAGATTCAAAAAATGTTGCAGATCGTAAAAGTCGATTAATATGCCGGTCGATTAAAAATAATCCTTTAAAGATTTAAAATGTGAATAAAGATTTTGGTATTAGAATTGCAACCGATCGCGCGTATTGTACCAGAAGATGGACCATAAAGTATTGTTTCAAGTAATTGAATTTCATTCTTTCCGTCGTCGTTTGCCATTATTGATCAGACAATGGCAATATACAATGCAATGTAACGTACGTAATCTATCGTACGTAATCTATCTACTCTGCGCACGCATCAATTGTATGTATGTGCTTCGATGCTCCATTTGGATCAATTTTTTATTAGATGTATGTTAATTCGCAGTTGTTTCAACGAATCGCATTATTAAGCGATTCATTATCATAGATTTGTTAATTTTTTGAAATAAAATTTGGTATACCCACTATGCAAATAATCAACAGTTCTGATTCAAAATTAAAGATAGATGCAAAAACCGAAATATTTCGGTTTTTGCATTATGATTCAAAAACTAATTAACCGAAATAACTGAGACCATTCCCATCTTCACAATTCAAGAATCGAATAAATTATCTATTTGTAAATATGATCGCCTCACGAAAACTTAAATCAGCGAATATTCTTTTGAGACTTGATCCAAAGGAGAGACAAAAATAATGTAAACGCGAAATATAAAATCTTTATTGTAACATTATGAAAGAAAAATAATGCAAAAACTATTGCACGTCAAATTAGTAAAATAAACATTAAAAAAAATCTGAATAAAGAGAATGGTCTGCAAAGTATGCTAATACCCTGAACCATCTGTCATGAATATGCAGTAAATTAACATATTGTAAGACAAATACATAAATATCATGTATATGTAAGTAAAGCAAAATATAAATCAGTAAGTTACCATCTGATCTTGAGTTAGCAGGTTCAAAAATATTAAAATTTCTTCATGTTCTTCGTAAGGTCGTCCCTCTGCAATCCACTTAGCTCGTTCAACCCAATTAGATGACGCTCTTATCTCTTCCCTGATTCTTTAGACCAATTAAATAGAGACTTTTTTTCTAGTTTCTTAGACATTGTTATTTTCTGTGTTCGTTAAGTTTGACGTGATCTAATACTAGCACGCCGATTATGTGGCGGTTATCAGCCACCTTATCGCAAAAAACATTTCACGTGTTTCATGTTTCACGCGTTTTTTTATCTCTATCGCTATAGTTTAAAAGTACTTTTAGATCACCAACCAATCGGATTTACTGTGATGCATAAAATCACGAGGATTAATCACATGACATCGAGCCTCGCTATTGGTCAAAAACTAACGACAAGACACGTAAGATTCACGATGATAAGAATCACAATGCTTAAGGATAATAATGGATAAGGGGAGTGCCAGAAATTACGTAATTAAATTTTACTATGAGCCGACTCCTTCCACCCCCCTTGTGACTTTTAATTAATCGAAGAATTAATCTTGTGATTTTAATCCTGTGATATTAATCAATAATCCTGTGATTCTAATCAAGAAAATTGGTTTTGATTTTACACATTTTACTTTATGTAACTTTATTATAAATACATTACTTTGACATAAAATTTTGTTTTATGCAACAACTTATAAATATAATAAAGTTATTTTACGCAACTCTCTCTAGTTATCCTAATGCAATCTTTTCTCTCTACTCCAAGTTTTTCAAAGTTCTTTTTTTACAAAAATCCAAACAATACCTATCAAAGATATTGCAATGTATATGCATATGCATATTTGGTTCATTCTGATATACCAACACTTCAAAATAAAGAAAATCTTGTGAAAGAATATAATCTAGTATAGAATAAAATTAAAAAAAAGAATATAGAATCTATTAATACCAAAATTAAGATGCTTTTCAATTCTATTCTCCTAATAATCCGGTCTCATTGAAGATATATGAATAGATAATTATCCCAAATATCTGATTCTACTATCATACTCTCAGTAAATCAGCAACATATCTTGAGAAAGCTATCTTCTAGTATATTAAAAATTATATCAAATGCTATTGATCAAATATCAATAGCAAATATTATAACTAATACTGAAGAAAAACAAGAGTAATATATTAAAATGATAGTTATAACTAATGATATTAATTTATAACGTATCTTATTAATAAAATTAAACAAACTTGATTATAAGATTACTAAATAAAAAAAGAGATTAGAATAACTTAAACATCATACTGCTATACAAACCAAATCTTAGATCAAAAAAATAAGACTTTTGGAAGAAGAAATTGTTGAAATATATAATAAATCAGAATAATTATCAGTTATAACTATTTATCCTGACTTGTAAAAAAATATTTACAACTGTATAGAATTTAATGCTATATCTGCAAAGTGAAGAAAGAGTATAATTAAAGTAAGAATAATAAAGTATTTAAAAAAAGAACTTGAAAAAAAAATCAAATCTATCTTGTAAGATAAATGCTTTTTACATATCTGCTATTATAATATCAAAACTTATTTATTGCTAAATAACATTATCATCCAGCTCAAATTAGAATTAATTCAGTTATATGAACTGAGATGAAAGTATATATTAATGAGTATTATTATCTAACATTAGTTAAATTAATAAAAATCTTTACCACAAGCTTTCTTAAAGACTCAATTATCATTTTTCAAGATGATAAAGTGAAAATTGAACTGAATATATCTGCAATAGAAAGAATATTCAAGACTATACAATCAGTTAATAAGCTAGTAATAATTACAGATCATGATTTTCCTATAGGTATGAAGCAAAAACTCATTCCATCTATATACTTACTTATAAATTCATCAGAAAGTAATACACTTCATATTGATCATATGAGTATTTTTATTCATCCAGAATACTTTATAGAAACAATATCAGTAACTTACATGACAGATCTTATAAAAGTTATACATAACAAATAATTTAAAAAAACTGCAAAATATGAAGAAAACATAAAGTTAATCTGAATTTTATTAATAGATGAAGAGTCTGATGAAAATTCAAAACATCTCAAAAATATTCTTAAGTATTTTAAGCTTTTCTAACAAGAAAATCTAGATTACTTGACTGTACAAACTTATACTCCTGATCAATCTGTTTATAATTTAGTTAAAAGAAGTATAATGACACTCTTTGAGAAGCTTGTCAGAATCATGTTTTCTGTTAATTATTTTGGTTCACATCTAAATAGTCAGGAAAATATAATTGATAATGATCTGGCATATAAAAATTTTCAGTATTATTATCTTTTTGGTATGAGTTCTGAGATGAGAGCAAGTATTAAATCTAATATTACAAAAGCACATAAGAAAAATGACCACGTGCTTAAAGTAATATTTGAAAGAGTCTTTGAAAGATTTATTAACAAGAATATTTTTACTATTATTTCAAAGTTAATCTAAAGATAGGTAATGATAGTATTCTTGTTGTGACTAGCTAAAATGTAATTCAATTCTAAAATATAATTTCAAGACAGATGTAATATTTAGTTTATTAACAAGATGAAATAATAAATCTTAATCAAGATCTATTC